AAAGCTTTGGAATGAAAAAAGTAAAGCCCTGTCGAATGAACGTCCTACAACCGACAAGAGGGCAGGTGTTGAACGCTGCAGCGCTGTCACCGGACAGATTTTATAAGACCAGAGGTTGAGAAACGAGAGAGAGCGGGCGAGAGACAGAAAGAGAGAGAAATAGAAATAAAAAGAGAACGAGAGAGAGAGAGAGAGAGAGAGAGTGAAAGAGAGAGAGGCCGTTTACCTGCTGAGTCATCCAGGTCAATCAGCTTTGGCATCAGGCTCTCGGGCAGCTTCTCGGGGAGGTCATAGCCATTCTTCCTGGCCACCACCAGGTGAAAGGCGGCACAGAACTCGTCCAGGGTCAGTGCTCCGTCTTTGTCGAAGTCTGACAGCTCCCTTCAAAGACAAGTCACACATTAGTGAGTCTGCAGTTCTGATATAGTGCATCAGCAGTGAGCTTATTCAAAATGGGTCGGGTTTGTAAAGGAAGCAGCCTTTAAATCTCGTATTTATTGCATCATTCAAAAAGTCAACTTCAGCTTTTGCTAGTTCTGCTTTATTGAGTGTGTGAAAGTGGGGACATCAGTATTTATGCAGATGCTCCATTTATACAGAACATGTGTGTGTAAAGTGTGTAAAGCTCATGATTTGAGTAGAAACGTTCGAGTCCTGCTCATGATCTGAAAAATGAAATGAATTCTCACATCTATGCAAACAGGCCTGTAAGACCGGTCACATGAGCTGACGGCTGTGTAGTGATTGACTGTGTAATTACTCAGGAACATTTTATTCCCCTTCGAAACAATGGCAGCTTGATAGACTGAGGTCTGACATCACACATAAAAGTGCAACATCACGATGAGGTGCACACAGTAGATCAGCAGCAGGGACTTCTGCCAGGAACCAATCACAGGTTCCTGTCCTGTGCATAGAACCTTTAACGGTTCCCCTCATCATGTTGACTGATTACCAAAGTAAACACATTTTCTCTTATCATCCTTTCTGAGTCTTCCATGTTGTAAAAGTCATTAAAGGTTAAACATGTGATCAACATGTCCAGCAACCGTTGCACAGAAGGTTCAGACATCTTGACAATTCACTAAAATCTCTTCAAGACGGACGAACACAGCTGAGACGGAGACTTTCAGGATTCCAACTCACCAAATATGCGACAGCTCTAAAATCGGTAGTTTTGATTTGGTGAAGAATTCTTTCGCTGCTGAACCTGGGACACACGGAAACATGATCAGTTCAGGTTTTACAGAGAGCTTGTTTGTTTTGTGTGTGTGTGTTTGTGCATTTTCCTACCAGGTATGAAGCCAGTGAGGTCCGGCTGGATGGTTTTAAACTGGTTGATATAATACTGCCGCTGCTCGTCCGTGATCTTCCACGGATCGTCGTAGCCGCTGGACTGTCGCTGGATCTCATTGGTCGTTGCTGACGAGGCCACAGTTCGTATTGTTGTGCTATCCTGTGAGAAACCACAAGGAACATTGGCAGAAACTATTAGGAAAGACGTCCTTGTTGAAATGAAATAATAAAATACATCATTCAGTGAAGCAGGTTATGTTAAAAGTGCAGTTACTTCAGTGACTGTATCTACTGTTTGCATCTTTCTGTTTATTGGACTGAATGTGATACAGTGGCGATGCAGCACAATGTTTTATTTTCATTAGACCAAAAACGGCTTAATTCTGAGATATTGACCTAGCATGAAAGTCCAACAGAGAGAACATCACATTATCTGAGAAACTAAAATCAAGGGCACTCAGAAAGCGCATACCTCTGCCAAGGCTAATATCCTCCCTCGCCATGTTAAAGAAAGTGGAAAAAAATCCTGGATCTGCTCCAAAATGTAATGTGTTCTTCCTTGGGTCATGCCCCACCCCTCTACATAATTTAATTAAAAATGGTTCAGTGGTTATTGAGTAATCCTGCTGGCAGACAGACAGACAGCAATGAAAACATAACCTCCTGTTTATCTCATCACAGGGTACAGGAGCCTCCAGTTTCTTGATTTGCCTGAACAAGCTGCGTCAGTTTCAGTCCAGCTACGAGGGCAGATAACATTTTTGGCGGATGTTTGAAGTGCCACGGTGGTGACTTTGATATCTCGTGCTTTATGTTTGCAGTGTGCGATGGCGACTTTCCATCTGCTGTTCGAGGTTGATGATGTTTAACGTTACAACACAAATGTTACAGTCAATCCCATAATCTGCTATCCTGAAAATAATTACCTATTAATCTCCAGTCGGTCACTGGTGAGAATAATGATCAATCTGAATTATTTCATTTTTCATTAAGGGTCTTAAAGAAAAAAGCAGGTTTGCTTTTGAAGCTAAAACTGCATCAAAAACAAGTGACGCGCACAAACTGTAGTTGACAAATTTGTTTTCATTCGTCTTTGTACTTGAGCACGTGACAAAAGCACAACACTGGCCTACCTGGGCTGACGAGGGATGCATTCCAGGGAGTGTGCTGGAAGGCGGGGTGTCTGCTGTGAAACTGACCCAACTTTCCTGACCTGGTAAAGGAGGCGAGTGGGACGGCCACATGCCATCAACGGGAACTGGACCTGGATGGAGGAAGAGTTTAACAAGTTCAGTCACACCCAATGCAACACAAATATATATAGTGTGAGTGTTATTAGGAAAGGATCAGGGCTGAAACTAACAATAACTGATTAACTCTCCATTGACCAATCAAATATTTTGTTTTTAAAAGGTTTTAAAAGCTCAAATTTCCAAAAGCCTGAAGTGACTAATCTGGGTAATCAGTCAAAAACCCAATGATGTTCAGTTCACTGTTGTATATGACAAAGAAAATCAATGATACATGGATTATGAAAATAGCAGGCGATTAATTATCTTTTCTAACTTAACATCTCGTTCACATTTTGGAGAAACAAAAGTAAAGTCCAGGTCAGGTGATGTCTACTTTGTGTCCTTTATGACTTACTGCCTTACTCAGCAAGAATTATTAATAGTATGAACAAGCTGCAAACATCAGGAAGTAACAAGTGATATGCTTCACATGCCGACTCTTTTTCCGCTGTCATCAACAATAGTGACAAATTATCTGCCACGTCTCACTGACATGATTTTTTCATTTGTGGGGTTTGTTGAGCGACAACTCTTTGTAGCTGTACGTGAATTCCAAAATGATGTAGGTCAGAGGAAGTTACCGGTTTGTGGTTCTCTGAACTGCGTCCACACAGCTCCAGCTGCCGCTGCAGCCGCCACCACCACCACCACCGGCTGTCTGTCTGCATTTCCTCCACTGTGCTGCCGCTTGTGTTTCCTCCAGGAGGGAGGGGAAGTGGGGGGGGACTGGTGAGGGGAGACCACCGGAGACGTCGGTTCAGGCTGATAATGGATAGAAACACAAACAAACATTTTAATCGTACACATAAATAAAGAAACAGGAACCACTGAAGAAACAGTGTGCCAAACTGTCTTATTATGGTTTCATGTTAGATGGCATCTCAAATGCTACTAGAACGCAGGGATGTTGTGAAAACCAGTGAATGAACATTTCACAATAGATGCAAATAGATAAGAGCTGAGGAAGATGCCTTTACGTGCAACAGACAAAACATACTGCCTGTTTCAGCGTCAGAAAGCTCATTACAGAATAATGAGCAGGAAGCAATCTAACAGACACAGGAAGAAACACAGGATATAGAGCTGTATTCCAGTGGCTTATCTTTAATAACTACTGGTTGCAGCTGTGACAGGAAATAACATGGGTCTGCAATGTTCCCCAACACATATATGATGGTATTATGGCTGATTTAATGCAGTTATCACAGAACTCATTGTGGCAAAACACAACAAAGGTTTAAAATTCATCCCGAAGCCTTCAAATATACCTTCATTTGTTATAATTAAAGGTTAATCTAATAACACACCTGTGGTTCTATGCTGGTTGCCAGGGGCTGGATAACCTCGTGGACAGGAAGTGCAGTGGAGGTTGCAGGACCTTTCTTGTTCTGGAGTCCCCTTCCTGGTGGCCTGGGTATTACTGCAGTAGCAGAAGCTGGGTACAGACCCTGGTTGTCGGTGTCCTGATACAGCGCTGCGTGTCTGGCCTCTGCCTCGTTCTTCCCCACCACGAACCGGGGGAGTGGCAGGTCCTTGACTAGAGAGACAGGAATCCATTCAGAGGATTAGAGGAGGAGTGTTTCGCATTGAATCAAGGAATGAAGCTAGAACACCAACATCATCAGTCTGTGAAGTTAAGTGGAATTCAGGAGTAGGTTTTTGCTGTTTACTTTTCCACTGTAGAATCTCGACTTCATCTACTTCACTTAGTGACAACCTACATTTCCCAGAATGCCTGGAGACGGAGCATTAACCTGTGTTCATGCAGAAGGTTCCAGCTGTAGAACGAGAGCAATGTAAAACCATCTCATCAGAGAGTAGAGCTGCCTCCTCAAAATAATACAATGCACGAGCACTCGTAAATTAAAGCTTCTGTCACTGCAGTAAAATGTGTGTTTGTGTCTTCTACTGTGAATTTGTATGAAGCTGAAGGTCAGAGCAAAACAGTGAAAAAAGAAAAGAGCACAAGAATGGATCGTTTCACATGGGTAATGTTTTTTTCAGGCTTTCAACTTGTAATGTTGCAGCATAGATTTATTTTTAAATGAGGTTTATGAAGCAATCCCATCAAATGATGAAATCAGACGTTTGCCATGAACAAGTAACTGTGTGTGACATCTTCCCTGGTGTTTTTGAGAGCAGTCACACCAAGGGCAAACAGAAAACAACAATTTTGCAGTTAAACCCTCCAGGGTTTACAAAAGAAGCTTTGTTTAGTTAAGAAATAGAAACTAGTTAAAACTGCTATTATTGTCAAGCACCTGATAAACACATTGGGCAACAGTGATCTGCAGAGCTGAAAGTGCAGCTCTGGCATGAAATCCATTAAACATCTAATTACTGATAAGATGTTTTTGTTCAAGGTGATTTCCCCCATAGGCTCAAACAGCATTCTGAGTTTGCTAAATGACACATGGGCAGGAGGAGCTTGGGATCAAATCATCAGCTCAACGATTATTGAAGAACTGATGAAGATGAGCTGTTTGTTCTGTTCTCTTAATGAAACATGGTTTGTTTGAGCTATTTGGTCTATTTGGTCTGTGGCCAGAGAACCCGGTAAGCCGTTATGTATTGGTTTTTATGGTGAGTCTCTGGTGTGAGAAGGCATTCTAAACAAGTTGTCAAACAGTGGCAATGACTAAGAGTCAACTGTGGACTCACCCGAGTTGAGGCTTTCCACCCTCAGGGGCAGCCCAGACTGGGCGATGGCGATGAGCTTGAGAGCGATGTAGAACTGGCTCCTCCCAAAGTGACCCAGTCGAGTTGCTCCACAAAGCTCTGTGATCTAAAGCCACAGACAAGGACAGGAAGGAACAGTTAAGATCTGAAACTCTGATATGAACGACCAACAAAGAGGAACTGCTTTTCACTTGCAGAAGTTATACCTTTAATACACACATTATA